GAGCCCTAAGCAGCCCCCTTGACCCTCAGTGCACACGCTGGACCACTGCTGGTTACTCTGGGCCTCCCCTGGGGATTCAGCCTCAGTGGACAGGAGGTCCATTTCTCATTACAGTAGGGTTTTGATTCTTTGGAAACATACATATGGTCATATAACTTACCATCTAACCAGGACACTTGTGAGAGTGAAGGGGACGCTACTCGTCATTATACTGGAATGACCAGCATAGGCTGGGCTGTCCAGGCAAGCCAAGATGTTTGCGTTTTACAGAGAGGAGCTGGTGGGGCTGGAATTTAAATTACGGTATTTCGATTCCAGAGCCTATGTTCAGATTCACTGTCACACTGCCAGAGGCCAACGATATTCAAGCTTCACCACACCAACGCACAGCACTTACATGTCCAGTCAATTGCCTCTGTATGCTACTACCATTCAAATGAATTTCAAAGCAATCACTTAAGGCTCTCAAGAGAAAAAGAAATGTTTGCAGGGGAGTTATTCTGAATCCACAGGAATTCGGCAGCAGTTGTAGTATCAGCCATACCCACGCTCACTCTAAAATCCTTCTAGCTTTAGTTCAAGTATTAAGATGGTGCAGCACGTGGCACAGCTAAAGGGCACAGCGGGACTCTGCAGGCGGTCGGCCCCCCAGCGGGACGGTGCCCGATGCTGAGCGGTGTGCCACCCAATGACAACGTGAGAAACAGTCCACGTGACCACACGTCACTATATTTCATCAGGCAGCCTAGCAGGGAAACAAAAACTGTACCTAAACCCCTGACAAATTAAGAAAAAAAATATTTTTAGGTTAAGAGAAAATAAGACATGAGAGGTAGAAGAAACGAGTGAGGATATGGGGAAAAAAAAAAAAAAAACACCGTTTTCCGGTATCGAGAGCTCCTTCAAGTGAAAAGGCAGTCCAAGACTTTCTCATTTGTGTGGCTACTAGGTGATGAACGATTAGCAGGTCATCCAAAGTAATGACATCTTGCCCACCAAATACTGGTCACTGCTTACCACAGACACTGTTAAAGGGTTTCTTGCAATGACCACTTTACCTGTCTTTAGCAATAGCAAACAGATCATCTTCATCATCCTCTTCAAAGAGACTAGTCTTTTTCACAGTATTCTTAGCTTCTGGGTCCGGGGCAGTCCCAGAGTCCCTAAGTTCGCCTTTAGACCTGCTGTCGAATGCTGAAGTGGTCTGTGAATCAGTAATACTCCACTGGTCCTTAGAAAAAGCATACGAAAAATCCCATGACAACTGAGATTAAAAAACATAGTAAGTAAAATAAAATTTATAACACTTGAACTCAGTGTATTTAAACTAAGCATATCAGTGTTAGAAGAAATTCCCGTCCAATACTCTTCTTTGTACTCCAATCTAGAAAACGGAATTCTC